TTGCTGGCGTTTTCTTTACAATTACATATTTCACCTTTAAAGTTAGTTTTAGTTAAAAGTTTATGTTGTTATATTAAAATATAAGTGACGTAATATGTTCAGTTGAATTCAGAATTAAAATAATAATTATTTTTTTAATATTTATGTATGGTTGTACTCTGTGTCTTTTGTGTCGTGGGCACTTAAATATATTTATTTATACTATAGATTTAGTTTTAATGAAGTAAAAATGCAACACTGTTGTTTTAAGTATTTTTCATATATTTTTATTGTTTTTTTGGACGTATTATTAATAAGCATATAATATTATGTACATTTATATATTTTGAAATTGAAATTAAATTTTTTGTCGGCTATATTTATTGTTTTTATTTGTTTTATTTTTATTTTCTGAATATATGCGTTTTTGATTGAATTATATTACATATACACAATATATGTTTAATTATTTATGTATGCATTTGTTTGATTTTCAGATTTATAATTTAACATGTTATTTTTTTATTTCATATGGTATTTTCATAATTTTAGTACTTAAATAAAATTATACATATTATAAATTTTTAAATATATTATTCTATTGTTTAATATTATTTTATACATATTTTTTTGTTTTTTATTTTATTTTTCTTGCCGTGGAAATAATATATAACAATTATTCTTTTAATCAATATATCGACAAAGTTTTACAAAACAATTTTTTTATTATTTTTAATTGCCCACCTTGCTTGAGAAACGAATTTTAAAAATTTTTCTTCTCTCTTTTTTAACATATTTTTATATTTTTTAATTCGATTACAAAAATTCTAATACCCGATTTGAAAGTTTATGCCATGTCCTGATAAAAACCGTCTCGGGAATTTTACATTCTTATTTTGTGGTTTTTTATTGTTTGCTAGTTTAGTGTTCAATTTTTACTTTAACTTTTTTAAATTAACATAACGAACGTATCCGCATATTTTAATAGTTTTTGTTTAATGGCGATCAGGCTACCTCGTCTAAATTGTAACCGACGCCAATTTTATTCACAACCCAAACATGCTCCGATAATATACGTCAATATAAATAGATAAATAAATAAATATATACATAATAAAATATATAACAGTGCAGTGCTGTATCATATGAAAAATACATGCGAATAATAAGTAATAAACACGAATATTATATGTGCTGGAAAATATACTACACAGATAACGTAATGTTAATATTATATATATACACTAAGTGTAGGACTGAAAAAAAAGTAAAATGCTCGTTTTCAGATTGTAACTGCAATACGGGGTATTCAGTTGGCTTTATGTGTAACGCCACCGGGCAGTGTGAGTGCTTGCCGGGAGTTATAGGAGAGAAGTGTGATCGGTGTCCAGAAAGGTAACAAAAAAAAAAACTATATAGCCTATAACTTTTAGGTATGACTAATGCTCTCTAAATTCGTTTTGCAATTCGCTACAGGTGGGTTTTGATTCCGCAAGAAGGATGCCTCGAATGCGACTCGTGTACAGATGCCCTAATATTCTCGGTCGAAGATTTAAGCGCGCTACTCGCTAATGAAACAATGGACTTTAAGGTAATATACCGTGAGTCTTTTTTTTTATCACGGCTCTAATTTTCTTTTGGGATCCGCTAATGAGTTTTTCCATTTATAACAGGACAAAGCCGACTCGTTCTTCACGACGCAACGCCTCAACTACATATCCAATCAAACTGAACTGCTTCGTCCAAAAGTCGCGCAATTGAAGACCGTCGATATCGGCGAAGTCACATCGTCTATCAAGACTTTAGAAACCAGTGCTAAGAACCTACTCAGATCGGTGAGTTTACTTAATATTTATAAATCGTTTTTTTTTTTAAATGTAATCTATATATATATAAATGAATTGCTGTTCGTTAGTCTCGCTAAAACTCGAGAACGGCTGGACCGATTTCGCTAATATTGTTCTTGAATTATTTGTGGAGGAAGTCCAGAGAAGGTTTAAAAGGTGGATAAATATGAAAATGCTGGGAATTGAATAAAGATAATAATTTTGTTTTTGTTTGATGTGTTCCCCGTCGGAAGGATTCCTTTTGTTTGTTTTAAGTTTATTTTATGCAAAAGTTTACTTTTGTCGATTGGGGCACTACGAAGTCTGCCCGACCAGTTTTTAAATTTAATTTTAATGTACGAAGGCGGAGTTTGCGGCGACCGACAGCGACAAACAAATAAGTCGCGCTGCGAAACTAGCGGAAGACGCGGAGAGGACATTAGCAGCGGTCAGGGAGAGCGCGCGGGAGGCCACCGAAGTCGTCAAGCATGTGGCCGACTTGGCCACCGGACTCGAACTCAGCCAGCAGCCGAAGGTCGACAGCGCACTAACCGAAGCGAGGCAGATAAGAGATGACATCGCCGGTAAGTTCGGATGATGCGACTCTAAAGCGAAAGTCGTATCGAGTAATTTCCTTTAGCCTCCGAGGCTGATACAAAACAAAATTTATTGTAATCCGCCCAAAAAAAATTTCCAATGAAAAAACAGGACTTTCACGTGTTTTTTAATGATTAAATCTATATTCCGTTTGCATCAGAAAATTTCAATGCACTGGCACAGTTAACTGGACCTATTTAAATGGACTTCTAATTTCGTACGCCTAGATTATGTGTGATGACAACGGAATAAAAAAACATAAAAAAAAACGAGAAGCATTCTAAACGCGCACAACTAATCAGTCAAAATCATTACGTTTGTATGTGCAGTAAAAGTGCAACATTCGTATATCGGTCACCTAACCATGTAATCGAGGCTTTTGATTGATTGTGAATGCAAACTAAACGTGTGAACATTTCAATCGATGAAGTTTAGTGTAATTTTGTAATTGTTAGCGCTCTTTTCCTGATAGACAAAGACTTGGTGCCAAAGAAACAACAAGCAGAAGCTGTATTCCTGAACACGACCACGCAAATCGAACGTATGAACTTTTTCGTGCAACCGGTCAACGAACAAGCCAAGGCAAGTTCTCATCGCCCCGATCTTGTCCTAATTCAGAACTCGAACTAACATTAAGAGCTGTTTTGTTGCATTCGATGCTAAGCCTCTGAGTGATCTAGCAATAGTGAAACGAAACGTCACGTTTCAATGAACCGCCAAACTAAATGCGTATGTATACTCTGTAACATCTAGGCAACGGGCAACTAACTAATCTAGGCATAACGCTAAATATTACGAAAATAAATCATAACCATGTGAAGTAAATCTAGTTGTGTTTTTGTACAGAAATTCGAGTCGCTCGTTAACGCGACCCGCGAGCTCAAAGACAAGCTAGACGATATGCTGGAGTACACCGATCTGGCGCAGCACACTGCCCACACTGCAGAGGAGCTAAACACTAAAAACAGGTTCGATTTCCGACTTAATCATTAACAATTATTACTTAATTCCGGTTATCAATTACAATAACTTTGATTTCTGGGGAAGAAAAAAAAAACTATCCGACAATCATCCGACTGAGCCGTGTACTCGATTGCTTATAGGTTATCGAAATTCGGCAACAAAGTGAACTCTGTTACGAAACTGAACACGGCGGCGATGGGGGACCTCATCGACGCAGCGTACGACATCGGCAACGCGACGTACAACAACATGGCGGTCGGCGCGAAGTTGGCGGGCGCGGGTCGAGCGGCGGCGGACCTCGACGCCGCCAACCGGGACGTCGCCGACCGGCTCGACGCCCTCACCGGAGAACTGCCACAGTTCGAGCACCTAACGTCCGAGGCTACGCACCACGCCACCATGCTCAGGAGGAGGGTAAATATCGGCGCGTTTTCATACATCACCGTCTGCGGTCATGCAGTTATCACTAATCGAATACCGTTCAACTAAGTGCGGTCGGATAGTGTAAGTCAGGTACCTGTAATGGGCACTTAAAACGTGACTCGGAAAAATATCGAATTAATAGTAAAGCGTTGATTTGCGGATGTGTGACGCGTGTGGTGTGTTCTGTGGTCTCGTGTAACGTGAGCTATGTCAGGGGTTCGGTAAGGAGTTTCATTGTTGTGTAGGCGGATAGCCTGCGCGAACTAGCCGAGCGGGAGAACAACAACAGCCGCACTCAACACGCTTACACCGCGGCGTCGGCGTACTCCTCCATCTACCAGGAGATCAACAAGGCGAAGGAGGCAGCTAAAGAAGCGGAGGATGCTGTGGCTAACGTTACCAAACTCGTGAGTTGCACTATTCTTTTTATTACGAACGGACACTGGCGCCTTCGAATACCCGTTCTGTATTTGGACGCTTCGGAAATTGTAAAAAAAGAACATGTAAAAGATTAAGAGATTACGATTCTTCAGTGAATAACTAATATTAAAAAAAAAAGTAGAGTAGTAAAAAAAAAATTTTAATTAATTAGTCTTGTCGTTAAGTATATAGTTTTGTTTTTGTTCCCCGTTCCTTTGCCGGTATTCTATTCGAAAAAATTCCTTCTTCTGTCACCATTCCGACCAGCCTGTAGAGCTTTATTATGTGACTTTATACCGTAAATAACTTTTCAGGCTCCACGCTAAGACGTTTCTTGTGCGCGGGAACCAGACATACATAACTAACGGAACAATGCGTTTTTTTTTTATTAATTATATATTTACTAACGATCACGCCACGTTAACTGGTCCCGTGCTAAGTTCGTAAAGAACTTGTGTTACAGATCTAGATAACGGAAATGAATGTAAGATTTTTATTATACACATACATATATATACACATATATATATTATATATATAATATACATCCATAACCCTGGAAAAGACATTTTATATTTATCATACAAATATCTTCCCTTGGCGGGATTCGAACCCGCGACCCCCTCGTGTAGTGACCATGTCACTTACCACTAAACCGGACGACGTATCGGAGACTTCGACCGTTAAATATGAGATTAGTACGTATCCAATGTTCCGTAGAATCGTATTCTGGACGAGCGCGTACGTCCGGCCCGCGAGCGATCCTCATCGCTGCTGGCGGACGCCACCAAGGCCCAACACGCCGTCGACCAAAAGCTCCTACCCAACCTCACCGCCACCGAGGAGGTGCTCAGAAAGATCCGAGACCACTTGAGCAGGGCCGACGATGACGACAACGCTATACAACTGTAAGTAACACTTGACTCAGTCAAACTATTATCCTAATAGTTTTTTTTTGCACAAATTCCGTCAGCCGTTTTCTTTGAATCGGGCCTTTAGTTTCTCGCTAAACGTTTAAACGGCCCTTTTGAATTTATTTTTTAAATATTCGAGAACTATCGTTTGCCTAGCTACTACATCACACAACATTTACTACCTGTAAAAACTTAAGAATATATACAGCGGTCATGTTAGTTATCGGATGCTCCTAATCTGTGCATTGTGGTTTTGTTGTTAAATAAAAAGCCGAGTGTGTTGGTTCCTAATGGATATTGATAGTGTGGAAAGATGTACCTACTTTGAAGACTAGAGAAAAAAAAAAGTGTTATATATAATTTTGTCTACTTACCACTTTGATTAAAATACAATGAGACTTGTAACCTCAAGTGTAAATGCAGCATGCACGTTCCATATATATACTACTTATTATGTAGCTGAATGTGTCTGTATCTATCTACTGAGTATTAAAATGTTATACTTATAAAACACACATAAATACTTCTTTTTTTTCTACACAATTATTTAAATCTTCTATATATTCACACACATAACCACAAAAAGCATGTTCCAAAAAAAACATTTGGGCTAGGTTATGATTACACCTAACCCTAAATATTGATTTCTTTGGGTTTCGAACCTATCCATATTAAGTGTTTCATACGAAAACGGCTGACGTTTCATTGTACATATTAAAACATACACTTTACACATATATTTAACAAAAATAATACTTCGCTTCGCACAGTTCGCTTCCGCCATTAACAACGGTTACCTTAGAAGAAGAGACGAACAAAGCAGACAGAGTAAATGCAACGATCGGAACCACCTTCAGCGTCATGTCACATCTAGGACCCGAGCTCGCGACCAGCAAGGACTGGGCCCAGACCCTGCCCAAGCTGGCTGACGAGGGCCAGAAAATGACTTCGAATGTTGAGAGCCACCGTAAGTTTGACAACAGCGTGACTTCTTCAACAACGACTCGCACAGTAGAAAGGACAATTGTTTTCTTGGCCGGCCGTGACCCAACTGGGTGGGACTTCCTCCCGACCGATACAAATACAGTGTCACAGAAAAAAATAAAAAAAATGTTATTTTTGATTATTGTGCGAATGCAAACATGCTTGAAGACATCTTGTTACAACATTCTCTTCTTTTCTTTTTTGTTTTTTTTTTGTTAACATTTTATAACAATTTCACTGTTTTTTTTTCTTTTTTCAAACATAACATAAATCCAATTTATTGTTTTGCACCAGCCTACATCGAGTACCGTGGTCCCTGGCGGACTCAAATTATTATATTACTCACAGAACATTTATTTATATAATGTTTTTTTTTTTTCGGTAACAGTTAAAAACATCAATGACATGGAGCCGCAAATCTCGTCATCGTATCACACCGTGAAGATGCGTCAAGAAGATTTGGAGAGACGACGTCGAGACGCAGACGAAAAACTTCAGAAACTTAAGGACTTAGTCGAACAGGTACTCGTGCAGAGTCTGGTATTATTACCAAGGCCTACGTAATGTTTTAGACAAGTTTCTGCCAATGTTTGCTAGTCTATTCGGTCTCGTAAAAACTATTTGCTTTTTTTCTTTTTTTTTTTTACTCTTGTCCAATGCCAGAAGTATGCCAACTTAGGGTGGATTTTTGCTAGCCCGTGGACCATATTTATGTTTCGCTTAGTACTCACGAAGGTTTTAAAATGATCGCGGTTGCGTATATTTTTTATCGAATATGACTAAGATGGTCCTCCTCGATTTCTTAGATATTTATTTCACGCATTAATTCCATTTCAGTAAATAGGCATGTAGCATTTTTAGCATTTTAGTTTTAATGAATATCGTATTCCGAATTTAGTTTGTTCCACCGCGACCACTTATCGTTTTTTGATTTATCTACTTGTGATTACACAAACATAATTATTATTATTTTTATTTTTTTTTCAAAATGACCCTATTGCATTGACTGAAAAAGTGAGAATTACTCTAATATGCCTAATAGGATCCCCTCTTCCTCTGTTTTTTAGAAATTTGTTAAACCCATTAAATCCAATTCAGTAAATAGGCATATAACATTTTTATAGTTTTAATTAATAACGTATTCTGAATTTAGTTTGTTATACCAATTTTAAATTTTAATTTTAAATTTTTTCAAAGTGACCATGATTGACCAACAAAATGAGAATTATTCTAATATGCCTAAGAGGATCCTCTTTCCTCTGTTTCTTAGCTATTTGTTTAACGAATTAATTCAAATTCAGTAAATAGGCTAGTAACATTTTTTTTATTTTAATGAATATCATATTACGAATTTAGTTTGCTCTACCACGACCACTTATTGTTTATTGGGTTATCTACTGTGATTACACAATCATATTTTTGTTCAATTTTTATTTTCATGTTTACCATATTGGATTGACCGATAAATTGAGATTTATTCTAATACGCCTAAGGGGATCACCCCTTTCCGTGTTTCTTAAATATTTACTTAACGCATTAATTCCAATTCAGTAAATAGGCTGGTAACATTTTTTTGTAACTTTATGGAATAACATATTCTGAATTTAGGTTGTTCTACCGCGACCACTTATTTATTGTTTGTTGGTTTATCTACTGTGATTACACATACATACTTTTTTCAATTTAAATGTTTTCTTTGACCATATTGGATTTACCGACAAAACGAGATTTACTCTAATATGCTTAAGAGGATTCCTCCTTCTTCTGTTTCTTAGAAATTTGTTTAACCCAATCATTTCAATTCATAAATAGGCTTGTGTTTTTTTTTTGTTTTAATGAATATCGTATTCCGAATTTAGTTTGCTCTACCGCGACCACTTATTGTTTGTTGGTTTATCTGCTGTGATTACACATACATACTTTTTTTCAATTTAAATGTTTTCTTTGACCCTATTGGATTTACCGACAAAACGAGATTTACTCTAATATGCTTAAGAGAATTCCTCCTTCCGCTGTTTCTTAGAAATTTGTTTAACCCAATCATTTCAATTCATTAAATAGGCTTGTGTTTTTTTTTCAGTTCAGTAAATAGGCAGGTAACATTTTTTTAGTTATAATGAATATCGTATTCTTGAATTTAGTTTGTTTTACCGCGACCGAATAGAAATTACTTATAATTTTTTATTTACATATTAATTTTGTTGAGTCGGAATTTGTGATACGGTGACCAAAAGTTAATTGACTAGCTTTTTGTTGATTTATTCATTCTATATTTTTTTATCTATAATAATTTACAAATCGCGTATTTTGTAATAATGATGCACGGTAATTTTCATGATAAGACATTTATATATATGATTACGCGGTTTTGTATTCTGTTTATTTATTTTTGTAAGTTCACCCTTCCCACCTACCCCGACTAGTTTCGAAAAGAAATTTCATTACAAAATTAACGCTTCTCTCTTAACCCCAGGCGCGTACGGTAGCTAATCGCATTCAAGTTGGAGTGACGTTTGATCGGTGGTCGACATTGCAACCCCGCCTACCGGATACGGTCGATGAGATGTCAACCTCCACGCACGTGTCGGCATACTTCCGAACAAAGGAAAAGGATGGCTTCATTCTGTACCTCGGCAACCCTAAGGGAACCATGCTGAGGAGAACCAAATCGGTATGTCTTAAAATCATAATATTCTTACACTATTAACAACATAACAATGATTTGTACCATATTACAGCATACAATAAACTTATAACGCACTCATGAGTACACGCACTAAATATAACCGGCACTATATAACACACAAACTCACACTCACTTCGTAACACGCGCACATCATAAAAACACACACTCACACATGTAACGCACTCACAACACTTCAACACAATTTCTAATATTTCACACTACCGTTTTTTAGGACGACTACATGGTGATCGGCATTCAGAACGGATACCCGTATGTAGTGATGGACATCGGGGACAGCTCCGAACCTGGCCAGGATCCGGCGAGGGTCTCCATTGACAAGATGGTTGCCGACAACCGCTGGTACCAAGTCATCGTTGACAGGTAACTCCACAGAACCCTATTATCAAAAATACCTTTGAAAATCCTTTGTGAAGGATCCTCTCTTGAAATCGAAATTAATAAAATATTAATTTACCATATTCCAAATAGCTTGATATAAAACGTGTGAGTCCGCAGTGTAAAGCGTATTAAACTCTGACATCAATCTGGTGCACAAGTTGCTAGTTTTCCTAGCTTTATTGCTGAATTATATGATTATAAATTTAACTTATAACAAAGCAACAAGTTTGTTATTGACACTCTAGTTTTGTACGACTTACAATGCGTTTCGCAAAAGAAATAAATAAAATTATTACACACAACAAGAAATTTTCAGTCTAGCCTATGAACCAGTTCTTTTAGACGCGCGTCTACTGGTTTTTTTTCTAAGACTAAATAATGTGCAGATTGGGTCGTCGAGTAAAACTCTCAATCCGCGAGAGCCTGGACAATGGAACGGATACTATCCACTCCAAGGAGGCTGACTTACCCGGACATCATACTATCTTCAACCTGGACAAAGAAAAGTCCAAGTTGTACGTGGGTGGAGTGCCTTCCGATGCCAAACTCCAGGGTATTAGTTTTCCAGCCTTCGAAGGTCAAATAGAAGAGCTGATGATTGGAGATACACCAGTTGGCTTATGGAACTTTGTCAGTGCCAATAAACTGAAGGGAGCCAGACAGAGGTATGTACAAAATACTGTTTTCAAACCCCATCAACTCAAACCCATTTAGAAAACTATATTTAGTACCTTACAATTTACAGATATCTACATATTATTATAAATCTTATATAAAAATTATTTTACCAGGGATAAATTGATCTCCTCGCAGTCTGGCCCTCAAGAGTACAGGTTCGATGGCCGTGGATATGCCACGATGGCTGGCCGAGGTTATTTGACGCCTCAATCTAATCAAGTGCTTCTCTTCTTCCGCACGTACGCTCCGAACGGCTTGATATACCTGGTCGGGGAAGGAGGATATTTCTTCTCATTACTGATGCAAGATGGAAGGGTTTACTTGCAGGTATTTTTATTTTATAATTATTGTAAAATTTAAATATTTATCTTCATTTAATTACGTTTTGTTTGTAGCCCCCTCCGCATTGACTCATTGTAACCCCCCTTCGCATTGACAGAGAATTTCGTTTGTTAAAATAAAATCATTATTGTTCTAAGGTGTCATTAGGCAACACAGAGGATTTGATAATAGTTGGCACAACCCGAGCATACAATGATGGTAAATGGCATAAATTGGACGCTCGCCGGTTCCTTGCCAAGTGCTCTCTGACCGTGGACAACGAGGTGCTCAAAGCGGAGTCCAATTCGCCCAGCGCCGACATACCGAGCTTAGACACTATGAACTTCGGAGGGAACAACAAAGGAATACTGCAAGTGCCGGATCGAGGCTTCGACGGTTGTATGAGGCAGATCAGCATCAACGGAGTAAACCTGGATCTCAGTGAGAATCTAGAATCGATCGGCATGGCGTATGGATGCCAGGTGAGCTTTATAGAATTGAAGCCTTTGATTGCTGTAACGATCAAAGAAATACTTGAAGTTACAACCCAATATATTTAGATTTTATTATGAATATGTAATTTAAAATTAGAACGCACTTTGTACGGCATAAGTCTACCTTACTGAGGCTTCTCCGGATGGAAGGAGCGGAACATCTGCGCATTACTCCTTTACGCACCAGCTATCTGCGCACACTTAATCTGCGCACAAGATATTTGCGCATACTTGATCTGCGCACAAGAGCATTTGCGCATATCGAAGAAATCAGAAGTTAGAGCAGCCATTTTGTTTCAGTACAAATAAAGAAATACTGATTTTAAAATACGGTCTAAAAGAAATGATATCACATCACTCACAATCAGATCGCAAACTCACTATTAACTATAACACTGCATTTGACATCAAATCTCAATTATTATAGTTACATTTAAAAATGTCCGAGCTCTCTAGCTTTTGAATATTATTAGTACATTTAGTTTGATAAAAAGAAAGTATTGTTTTTGTTACATCCATTTTTGTTAGAGTTTCGTCGATGATCTGAGCGCGACGCCTTAATAAAATTTTAGTTCCGAATGATCGATCAGATGAAAACAAAGGAATCGATATTCAAAATAATAATTTTGAATGCCTAGTGACCACGTGGTGGTGACACTATGAGCACGTTTCAGTACAGCAACAAACCGTCTTTCAGTTCGCTTCGTTGGTATCGTTCAACGGTACTGACAGCTACCTTCGCTTCGTCGACGTGACCAGCGAGAACCCGCAGCTGACCCTCAAGTTCAAGACCGCAAAACCTAACGGACTCCTATTCGTCTACGTCAGCAGGACACAGACCGCGATAATGCCCGACAGCATATCTCTATCGCTCGTAAACGGTCCGTACTATTTACTTTTAGATTTTGCTTCATTTGAATTTAGCAAACATTTTAGACCTATTATTAAGGACCGCTTCCACTAAATTAGTTTTAATTTTAATTTTAATATATCACGGACCCGAAACGAATGTATTGTAATGAAACTGGAATTGAACGGGTTCGTTCACTGAATATTCGTTTATCTCGTTTTTAAACAGGCAAACTCGTTGTTGTGAGTCAAAGGGAACAACTCGACACTGGATTGAACACGTATAACGACTCACAATGGCACGTGTTGACGGTGACGCACAACACTAGCGCCCTCAAACTAGTAGTCGACGACTTCGATTACTTCAGGTGGGTAAGATTCGAAATAACGGAATTTGTTTCAGAGAAAATAAATGTTTTATAAAAAAAACTTAACGGGGCTGAGTGGTCTAGATGTTTCGGCGGCCATTTTGTGCAGCACGGGTCAACCTAGGTTTGAACTCGCCCGAGTGCGAGGGGGGGGCGCAAGTGCATCTGCGCACACCTATGCGCACAAATCATTGATTTTATCCGAACACTGCATTTACACAAAATATATTGAAATTTACTAATAATTAAAGTAAAAAAAAAAACACGGAGTTTCTTGAAACTTATTATTTTTGTGAGTTATTGTTTTTTTTTTAATTTTCCTTCCAGACTTTTATTATTAGTAAAACAATTCACGCTATATTATTATTTATTATAATGTAAAGCATTTTTCGAACGCGCGCTCCTTTGAAAGCGAGTTGTTATGCCGGTAAACAAATCACATAACACGTACTAGTCCCGATTAGGGCATAAACGATTTTATTTTGTCCACAAAATTTTGTTAATTCGTTTCACTATCAAAAACAAAAAAAACTTCCATCATTTCTAATTGTTAATTTATTTAAATAAACGAGTTAATGTTATTAGGGCACCTACCTTGTGTGCTTGCAGTTGCAGATCGAAACCAATGAATCGAAAATATAATTCGTAGATGTAGAATGTACGTCTAATCCCACGTGTCAAATGCGATCCTTTATGCGGTGCAACGGTGAATCGAAATGTCGATTGCGTTGCGCATCTCTCGAGCTAAGATGAGACAGACGGGTGCAGGACGAGGCTGGGGCGTGTTACCCCCATCCCTCGCTCATAAATCAACTCGCGCATCCTTATCGATCCGTCTGCGAGACTCAGACGCTAATATGTACTTATTGTGGACCCCTTTATATTATGTACACATAAATCAGCGATTCGTTGGATTTTCGATGAATTACGTCGAAATTTAAACGTTAAAAGTATATTTTAGACTACCACAAACACTCGTATTTTAAATAAAATAAAAAGAAGAAAAGAAAACACTGACAACGTGTAAATTTATCAGAGATATAATGGTTGAGCTCGAATGATGAGTGATTTAAATCAATAGATGTTTCCTATGCAGGATACTATGTATAATAGTGTGAGAATGAAACGGTTAAAAAAATAATTGTTGCAAATAAAAACTGGATGCACGCAAAAAATGATGTCTATCAATTAATGAGAAGTTTTACAACAGTTTGAATTGAATTTATGATTTTGAAAAGACTTACATTCTCAAGGCGTCGGTCTTCGAAGCAACGTAGCAGCAGTGTAGCTCGCGCCCGGTCCTGAAGAAAATTGATTCGGAATCAGGGCACCTAGGCTGGGCACTAGGCGTCTAAGTCTGTGTTGCCATTACAAAAATGATTGCGTTCGGATATTCATTCATTGGTGTCGAATTTCATTTGGATAGGTGACTTTGTATTCACTTTTCGTAAATATCATACCTAAAATTGCGTATACACTAAAAGGGATTAAAAATAAGTTTTTTTGGGATTTAAAATTTGGTCTGGTTCACAATAGACATCAGCAAAAATATCCTATTTCCATAGCAATCGTACAATATCTGAAATGGTTGACATTCTATAACGACAATTATCAAGCGCTGTTGGGACCGTAAAGTTTCTTCAATGCTAACCGCGTACCGGAAGACGCAGCGTGGGGTAGACATCCCACAAAATGGATCGACGACCTATAGAGGTTTGCGGGGATCCGATGGATGCTAGCAGCGTAGGGCCGATCGTTGTGGTGTGTCTTGGGGGAGGCCTATGTCCAGGGTTGAACGTCTGTAGACTGACAAAAATCAAGGGCCGTGTCGTACAAATTATAACAATCGCTACCATCTATCATTACTAGAGTTCCCCCGGTAATCGAAATTCGACTTTATTTAATTGAAATTATATTTTGTACATTATTATGATTCGATTGTCAAATTCTATAATCAAATCTGTGATTACACCAAGACTACACTTTAAGCACTAGCACTAAAGACAAACAATATTCTTCATCTATTCTCAATTTCACCACAGACTATAAGCATAAAGAAAAGTTTGACAATAAAGAAATAGTGTGCATGCGTGTGTGTGTCAAATACATGGTAGTGTGTGTAATGTTTTTTTTAATAATTAAATCAATCAATTATTGATCTATTGTATTTTTTGTGCTTAATTAAAAAAAAAAATTTATACTCTGCACTCCTTCTCTATATTATTCACTAGACCGCTCCGGCTCCGCTCGGGTCTTTAACAAAAATTTCAAGGATATTTGAGGTTGTTTTATTTTTTTAAATAAAAGAACATTTATTGCGGCATAACTTTATTAGTTAGACATATTATTATGCTGTCGTAGCACTTTTTGTAAATAATAATGTGTTCTACAAAGTTGTAGTACATTATTATATTCTATCATGAATAGTTTTTGCAGGGCATGCGACGTAAAGAATATTTTTGGTAATTTTTTTACATCTTGGGTTACATTATTGGAGTTTTAGTAAGGATCCCTATTTTTTTTTTTCAAAAAAGATTATAGCCTATGTCACTCGGGAATAGTGTAGCTTCCAAACAGTTAAAGAATTTTTCAAATCGGTTCAATAGTTTCGGAGCCTATTCAATACAAACAAACAAATCTTTCCTCTTTATAATATTAGTATAGATAAGTGTGAGAAATTTCATACTGCTCCGACCGCGGAATTTTTGTAAAAAGGGGTAGCCGTTTTTGCTTCACGTATTAATATTATTATATAGATATAAAAAAAAATCGCGTGAATCTACAAATTGAATTTTTATTCACGTCCTCAGTACGGACACCGCGCCGCCACCGCTCCACATACTTGACGGGGTTCTCTTCATCGGCGGCGTGCAGCCGGGCTACGTGGTGAGCGGCTCGCTCGGCAGCAAAGTCCCGTTCACGGGCTGCATAGGCGACGCCACAATCAACGGGCAGGTCCTCAACCTGCTGGAGCCGTTCAGCAATAACAGCGTCACGTTCGGAAGGTGCGGCACGACGATCACAACGGGCGGCGTCAATCCAGGTGCGTATCGATTGAACTAACCACAAATTTAATTTAGGTCTGTCGTTCCGATAATTCATCGAACTCTCTTCTTTAGCTTGTGTCAACCTTTAATGTAGTCTTCGTATGCACTCCGTTCTTTTCGGTCTCTTGCCTTTCGCGTCCAATCCTTACCAACCTTACCAGTTATTTTGGTCGGTCGGTCCACTAAATTGGTATTCATCAAACTATGTTTTCATGAATCAGTAAATTAAACTCAACTCGACTGAATGTAATAAAGTAAAGTTTAAATCACATTATTCATGCAATATTTTTTTTGTATTTATTGAGTTAATTAAATATTTTGTGTAAAAACAGTAAAAAAGATTAGTAGCAAACCAACATTCGTTTGCAGGAAGGGGACTGAATTCCCTCTTCGTCAACGCGAAGTTTTTTTTAATCATCTACCTCTCAGACTTTTATAAACAGATCATATCATATAAACAGATTTATTTTCTAAATTTTTTTAGTTTAGCCTCTTCAATTCTAAAGGTGCGATATATTTTATGATTTTTGACAACTGTGTACCGTCATACAGACAAGGTGACTTGGTCGATACCAACGTCGCCTGATGTCCTGCCGATGCCTGAGCCGGTGCCCGTCTCCCCTGTCAATGCATTACCAGAAACAACCACAGCAAAAGGTTATAATGAAAATATTTTTTTGTCCATTATTTGGAATCATTTAAATTGTGAAACTTAATTATTCCCTTGCCACCAAAATCGAACGATAATTATTGTAGAAATATTTTCTTTTTCCTTTAATTTATTCTATTTGTCATAAACTATTTTAAAATGTTGTTCTAAATTCTTAAGCATCTTATCCAACCTCGGCGGTATATGTCCAATAAAAGACAAAATAATAATAACCATGAAGCTAAAGATCAATTGTGCCGACAAATCTGTAACTGTACCACCGTACCACCTTTAAAATTGATCCACAACTCGCAGTGAAGCTAAGGAATGGGCCGATCTCACCACTACCACCGCTGCCAACACTCGCACCACCAGAGCAGACGACCAGGGCTCCAGTAACTCGAGCGCCCATCACTGCACCACCCACTCCGCCTACCACTACCACCAAACGACCGGCACCCAAACCAGAGTCAGGCTGTGCTTTGGCCTATGACCCACACTACAGCCTAGGAGACCCCAATGAAGGCTATAGATTTGGTATGTGTTTAAACATGTTTGTTTTTCTGTTTGTATGACTATCCAGTACATTATCATAACAAATGGGGACCAAGTCAAGTAAATTCAAGTAAATTTTACTATCTAACTTGGTTATATTATCTTGCTTATGTTTTAACAGTTATAAATTGTATGTGTTATATAAATTGTGTTAATGAGATGATTCCATTATTACTTAATATGAAGGTTTGAACGAATTCTACAAGATATTTACTGTTATGATGAAAAAACAACCTAAAATACTTAGATACAAACTAAAATATTCTAAGGAACCCTAAATATTTAATGAATCCAATCATGAAAATAAGTTTTTAGTGGCCATACTCTGATCTTTTAAAAATAATTGTATTATCTATATCCTTTGTTAAATTGTTCCTAAATAAATAATTAAAGGAAAACCAAATCGGTGCAGGTTCACGTAACGTGAGTCGTATTGAGTACGCGAAGCTCCCCGGTCGACAACTGGAAGGGTTCGACCTCACAATATCGTTCCGCACCTTCGACAAGCAAGGCGGCGTCATATTCTACGCCGAGTCAGCACACGATAAGAACCCCGTGCAGTTCTTAGCGTTTTTCATGAGGGACGCCAAGGTGAGGAGAACACGAAAACAAAACATTAAGTACATAGTGTATCCAAAGCACATATTAGGCGGGAATTTAATTTTTTTCGCGCCAATCTTATGTCACTTTTGACACAAGTGTGTTTATTGTCTATGGTTCGAAGGCTATATGGACCTAGATCCCCTTGTCTTCCCTAGTAAGGAAAAATTGTACCAAAAAAATGTCAATGGTTCGTGCCTAGATGCTCTCTATAAAATTGTCATTAATAGAGGCTAACTCAAAGCAAAGTAAATTTAATAAAAGTAACATGTAAATAATAAAAGAAACAATAACATATAACATATATCGTCACAATTCAAATAACTCGGTCTTTAATTATTACAATGATTTCCAGCTCCATTACATGTTCAACTGCGGCGGTGAGACGGGCGTAATATCCTCGACGCACACTTACAACGACATAGACTGGCACACGGTGACTCTGACACGGAACGGAGGTCACGGTAAACTGGCCGTCGACTCTGAAATGGTCGGGGAAACCAGTGTTACATGTAACACGCCTCTATCGCTAGCGCCACCTTACTATTACGGAGGCTTGCGATACGTTAACGAAAGAATTTCGAAGATCTTCGACGTGAGTTAATTATTTCATTCAAAAACATTAATGTTAGATTTTTAATGTCAAAATGTGATATTTAATTTGTATTTATTTAATTTTAATTTCATTACTCTCAATTAAATTATAGCTTTTTTTTTATTTCACCCGAATTAATACACGGTCGGCATATTTATGTTCAATTGCAATATAACAGACATTCATGTGTCTATTAATATTTTATTCAACAACATAAACTAACAACAATATTCATACACAACACAGCTTATGTCAGCTTAGAATAACACTGAGAGATTCTCTCTCTCTCTGCAGAATAGGGAGTGTCTTACCAGCGCTTGCAGTCTTCCACTGACATTTATTGGTGATATTTTGTTGGTCCCACTGCCTTGCCTATTTCTGACGGAAAGCAGTCACTCTTACCGGCTTAATGCGCGAGATAGCCAGCCAAGGATGGCTGTATTCGCGTTTTGATTTCTTTGGATTCCTGTAACTTAACACAAATAGAAAAAATCTGTAAACATCACCCTAAAGATTTCCACGCCATTTCTAAAAGTATATTGGTAGATGAATGTAGATCTTTCTAGATTCTCCAACAAGTAATTCTTTGTGCCTTTCAATTTTTGTTTTCTTCCAGAACTTCTACCAGCCGTTTATGGGCTGCCTCAAGGGACTTCTCATGAACGGTCAACAAGTGACTCGTATTGGCAACGCTGTGAACGCCTTGCGATGCGTCGATAACATCGAAGACGGCGTCTACTTCGAAGCATCGAACAATACACACAGCAACTATTTGAAGGTAAGGATCCGGGTAGCATTTCACCAAAAAACTACCAATTCTTCTTTAATAATTTCAAAATTATTTGATTTTTAAAAATTGCTTTCGATTTAAAAAAGATACGCTCATGAATTTTGTTGTACTTTGAATCCTGTTAAAGAATCTGTACGT